ATCTCTGGTCGCCATAGAAACCAGCCATAAAGTCAGCCGGAAAGAGCTCATGAACAACATCTAGCCCATCTGCACCGGTATGGACCATTCACCTTCCCTTCCCTGTTAGGTCCTGTCAGGCCCGGTTCTGTCGTCTCCAGGGTGTCCCCCAGGAGGGAGCCAGATCTTGACCCTGCCCTCCTCCTCCCAAACCCCTCCCTCCTCTTTCCAGCCACAGTCTCAGATGGCTGCCCTGCAATGCCCACCCCGTCGAGAGAGATGGGCAACTAGATACCCAGTCCTGTGTCAAAGAAAAAACAGAGCCGGACACTAGTTAGAGTGATAAAAACAGATTTCATTCAGGAGAATTACAATAGGGGGAAAGACACCTCAGCCTAGAACAAGGCTCAATTCCAAATACAGCATGGGCAAGTGGGAATTTACAGCCTAGTAACAGGTCGGGGGTGGGGGTGGGAGGCAGTCAGAGGATGGAAAGTTACTAAGAGGATACATCAGGGTAAAGGGGCATTTGGCTAAGGGTAAAGGGGCATTTGGCTAAACCGACATAATAGGATTCTTGCTGAAGACAGGCCAGGGTAATCAGACATCCCCTGGGGGATGGTGGAGGGTGAGGAACTCTATCAGATAACAAAGATGTTCAGATATGGAGCGGGGGCGGGGGCAGGGGGAGGGGCAGGTTCTGGTTAAACTAACTTAGCAGGGTTCTTGATAAAACTGGATTTTATAAGAAAGTGCACAGATGGGCCTAGGAGAAGGTTCAGGAGCCTGACTAAGGTTTGGTTACCTGCCCATCAGGAGGGCACCTTCTAGCAGGGGAGCAGTCTACACAGGAGGGAAATGGCCCAAGGACGTATAGCAAAAAACTTGTTCAAACCAAAACATGTCTGACCTGGCCTGTCCCTCAATGAATCACTGTCCTTCCCAGGGTAAAATAACTCTTCTGATCCAAAATGTGATTAAATTGATTAGGAGAATGTTCAGTCTTTCAGACAAGCCACAGGCAGGCAGTAATCTTTGAGTACAAATGCAGGAGTTTGCAGGGACGCATTTTATTTGATTCTGGAAATTAGAGGCTCCTTGAAGGTAGCACACAATTTTGTTCAAGTGTCCCAGACTTTGAGAGAAAAGACCCAAAGCCCGTATCATGCTTTTATGAAAATCCTGAGAAGTGCTTTTTAACACACAGCCTGAGATCCTTCTTGGCACTGCTTAGCTAGACCTGCCCTGACCTCAGAGCAGCTGTACTAACTTCCCCCACACCTCCGCTGCACTTCCACATCTGCCATCCTTCCCTCTGCACAAAAAGCTGAGACTGTATTGTTCCCATTTTATAGATAGGAAAGTAGGGCTCTGAATGGTTGAGTGACTGAACCCGGTCACTTTGCTCTAAGTGGCAGACCCAGCCTCCCTCTCCTCCCTAGCCTGGGACAACTTGCACAGATATCATTCCACTTCTGGACATTCTGCCCTCTTAGGGGTACATGAAAAAATTCCTATCTCCACCTACCGCCCCCTCCACACATGAGGATTCTGTGGCTCTGGCACCCCTAAGGGTCAGTAAATTTCCTCCCTTTGCTGAAAATTTGCTCCCTTTCATATAACTCCAAGTGATCTCTGGGCAAGCTATAGGCTTTAGTCAGGACAATAAAAACTGAGCAGTTAGAAGACAACTGCTCCTCTGATGGACAAGATCACCACCCAAAGAAGGCTGGCCCACCTTTGACTTCGTAAAGGTTCGGAGAGGAAGAGAGGAGGCCCCGGAGGCCCCCAAATCTCCCTGCCCCACTTCACCTTACCCATTGTCTCTGCTGTCCCCAGCCACCAAAGTCTTCAGTGGCTTCCCTGGGCAGCATCCTCAACGACACCAGATCTCCCCAGAAATTTAGAAGGGCAGAGATCCAGGCCAAGTACAACGTATTAACAACATATGTTTGGGAACATGTTATTTAGCCCAGGAAATCAGCACTTCCAAAATTATGAGGCAAATTTGTATCCACAATACACCTTAAGCTCTACCCCTGAATTTCATCAAATAACAATTTCAAAAATAAAAGCAAAGCCAGTGTATGAACATACTGTCGACTGAAAAAAAAAAACCACACAAAACCTAAAAACTGAGTTATGTTTTATTCGATGATCTTACTGAGGACTATAGCCCGGGAATCAGCTTCTCAGATAGCTCTGAGGAATTGTTCCGAAGAGGTACGGGAGGGGCCAGGATATAGAGGAGTTTTTGCTGGAAAAAAAACCCTGTGGTTGAACATCAAAAGATTACTGTTAATCACACACACACACACACACACACACACACACACACATCTCAAGGTAATGATTTTAGCGCTTTACTTTGTATGGGGCAATGCAAGAATCTGGACTTATTAAAATTATTCCTTTGATATGCACCTTAACTACCTATCCTGCTTTCTCCATCCTGAATCCCCTCAGGGCGCACCGTTGGGGGGCTGCAGTGGCTGAGGGCTTTATGACCATCATCCTTTGTTTACTGAAATGGCAAGTGACATTCTTTGCCTACAATATCCACCCTGATTCCTCTCGACTTTTCTCAGAATTCCAATCTCCTGAGGCCCCATGCCTTGCTGCTACCTGGGGACACTAATGTCAACCTTACTTTTCACCTGGAAAGTGTAGTCTAGCCAGGCTGGCAGACACCTGGAACCTCGGTGTAGGTCACTCCCCAATGCGGGGGCTGCCACCACCTCCCGTGCGTCCAGCAGGGTTGCCTCTGCCTGGAGCAACCGCCTTCTCCACAGGCGGGCACAGACGGGGTGGCTGATCCAGGACAGCTCTGATTGTCACTGTCATGCCCTTACTCCCACCCCTCTTGAGGAATCTGTCCCTTTCCCAACTCCCTCTGCCTCTTACACACCCTCACGCTGCCGCATGGTTACCGGTGAGCTCACTCCTCTCCTCCATAAAATCCCGAACTCCTTGAGGGCAGAGACCTTGTCCTGCTTGGCTTTGGGGGTCCATACCTGGCTCCAGGCCTGGCACTTAGTGGACTCCATGTGTATTTGCCAATAAATCCTTCTGTCTCCTGGGCTCCAAAGATAGCAGTTGGATGAATGGTCAGAACATCATGATAAACTAAAATTCATTTTATGATGTGGCTATGGAGACACACAAAGACTGTGACATCATGTCAGGCAGGTGACACCACTAATCATTAGTAATGTTTATTTCAAGACAGTGTCCTTGGCTTGGACACGTGGGGAGCACAGTTCAGGGCCCCGCTGAGTGTGTCACTGTGCTGTAGGAACTGGCTCCGACAGGGATGGGGCTATGCAGCTGCTGTGGACCGGGCTGGTCTACCCCTTGGGACAGAAGCTGTGTTTCACTCATCTCTACAGGCCTCAACGTCTAAGTCAATATTTTTGGATAACTGAAGTAATTCCTTTACATGAAACTAGTGATGTTGAAGACAAGAAGCTCAGAAGAAACCTTTCTGCGTCTCTCAACTCCCCCACTGACTGAAAAGAATAGACTACAGTGTAGGAAAGTTCCCAGATGGTCTGCGGCTCCCAGACGCACTCCACACCCACTCATACCTCGGTGCCATCGCACTGCCATTGCCTCTTCTGGGATAGCCCTTCCCCTTCTATCTTACTTTTGTCCAGAACCTCCCTTCTACACCTTCTCTGTCAGGTCTTCCTGGTCCAGCCCCTTGAGAGTTTTTGTGATTCAACACTGGTCATTTTCATAAGGTCAAGGCAGTCTTAGGGCAAGCAGGAGGAGGTGGCAGGCAGGCCCTACCCCCTGCACCTCCAGCAGCAAGATCTGCAATAACGGGGAAATGTGCTCACTGGGTCTGAAGCAGATCCTTGAAGGCCTTGTGCTCCAGCCTGTGGTGTGACCGCGCATGGCATGGCGTGCAGACACAGGCCTGGAGATGAGGACAGAGGGCAGCTGGGAGCTGAAAACTAGGAGCAGGATTTTAAAAGCTGGAAGCCTCTGCGCATAAACTGAGGTCTTCCTGCCTTCCTCTGAGCAGCATCTGGCGAATGCAGAAAGGAGCAATGGGGTGAGATTGGTGGAGGCGCTGAGCGGAAGGCACGGATTTGGCGGAGACTGAAGAATGTGCAAGCAAACCCCCACTCCGTCACTCACCAGCGTTGATCACAAGCAAATCACTTGGCTTTTTTTTTTTTTTTTATTTTTTTTTTTTTTTTTTTGGCTGTGTTGTGTCTTCGTTGCTGCACGCGGGCTTTCCTCTGGATGCGGCGAGCAGGGGCTACTCTTTGTTGTGGTGCACAGGCTTCTCACTGTAGTGGCTTCTCTTGTTGCAGAGCATGGGCTCTAGCCACGTGGGCTTCAGTAGTTGTGGCACACTGGCTCAGTAGTTGTGGCTCGCAGGCTCTAGAGCGCAGGCTCAGTAGTTGTGGTGCACAAGCTTAGTTGCTCCGTGGCATGTGGGATCTTCCCGGACCAGGGCTCGAACCCGTGTCTCCTGCATTGGCGGGCGGATTCTTAACCACTGCACCACCAGGGAAGCCCGGCTTTTCTTAATTTAGTTTCTTTTGCTATAAAACAATCTCCCAAGGAGCAGGAACTAGATTCCTACGCCACTTTTCTGTAAGATGTGAGCAACACCGCGGGTTGGGATCTCTAGGGACACGTCTCAGGCCTCCTGGGAGTTCCCTGGGTATCCAGTAGAGAGGAGATTCCCACGCTGGACGTTTCTACTTCGTGGTTTGCCTCTGACATTGTTCAGCTCAATCTCTCTAAAGGGTTTACAGAACGCTCTAATATCCACGATGCATTCTCACTTCCTCGTCCCATCAGCCCCTTTTGCAGGTGGGGAGACCTGGGCCCGTGACTTGACACCGTCACTCTGTGAGGACCAGCGCCCCCAGCTCCGGCTCTGGAGAGCGCAGACGCGCGGCACCCCCCGCCTCCCGCGCCCTCCCTGGGGGCGGAGTGAGCAGGCACGGGGCGGGATCTTTCAGGTCATGTGACTCCCGGCCCGGAAGCACTCGCCCCCAGACCCCGGGGTGACCAGGTTGGGGGCTACTACCTCCAGCGAGCGCGGAGGTCGCGCTCCTGTTTCGCGCTCCCAGCATCCGCCGCCATGGCCTGGACCAAGTACCAGCTGTTCGTGACCGGGCTCATGCTCGTCACCGGCTCCATCAACACGCTCTCGGCAAAGTGAGTCCGGGCCTGGCCGGGAGGGGAGGGGACTCCGCGCCCTCCCTTCGCGGCTCTCCATTCCTGACTTCACCAGCCAGCTCAGTTGCTCTGATCCGTTCATGCGGTTTATGGACCACCCAAGGGGTACGAGGCCCAGGGAAATGCGGGGCAGGGCCGTGTCCCCGGCTGGAGGATCCGAGCCCCTGCTTTGATTCGCTGTGTGCTTGATCCCAGCGAGTCACTTTCTAACTCAGCGCCTCAGTTTCCTCATCTTTAAACGGGAGGGAGTTTCTCTTCCCTGCCCCTTCCAAGCTGGCATCGGGGGCCCCGCCCTCCAGGAGCTGTGGGCCAGGGAGGGCTACCATAAACGTCATGCGGACCGAGTGACCAGTGAGCGTGGAGGGCTGCGATGACAGAGAAGGGGGTGCACCATGGGGCCCTCTTGGAGGAAGGGTTACAGCTGGGCCTCGAAGCTTTGGTAGGATTTCTACATGTGGTGGGGACATCGAGGCAGGAACAGCAAGGCCAGATCCAGGTGGATTGTAACTAGCACCAAATGCCCAGGCTGGATTTTATCCCATAATCAAAGAGGGGCTTTTGAGATGGGGAGTGACATGTTAAAAGTGATACGATGAACCTGGTGGTCAAGGTGCAAAGCAGTTGGCTGCAGGGAAGACCACGCCAAGGCTGCTGCATAGCAGATAAGGGGAACTGGGACGTGGCAGTGAGGTGGGAAGGGAAGGGTCAGGTGGGAGAGACCAGGTGCAGAGTGAAGCCACAGGGCCTGACCCACAGGATCCAATAATCACTCCTGGGCTTCTGCCTGGGGGAACAGAAGTGGCATTAACCCAGGCAGGGTGGGCAGGGGGGCAGTTCAGCTCTGATGTAAGAGGGTGTGGTGCACGTGGAGGACAGTAGACAGTGACCCTCTCCCAGTCAGACCTCCCTTCCACCTGAGCCCTGCCAGGCTCCAGAGCAAAGGGGAGTCACCCCAGTCACCCTCTGGGCTGCACTCCAGGCCCCCTGAGGGTGGTGGGGATAGTTGTATCTTATTCGTTTTTGAGGGTGTTTCTTCCCAGCCTACTCCATCAGTGACGTGAGAAATGCCCCAGAAGGGAGGTCTGGGAGAGAAGTACCCTGTTCGATTCATCAGGCATATATAAGGTCCTTACAGTGTGTGAGGCACTGCCTAGACCTAGGGAAGGAGACAGAAGTGACCGAGAGAAGGTCCCAGGCTTTGAGATGCTTAGAAACTGCAGCAGAGGAGACAGATGTGTACACGCTTGGCAATCACAGTGTCCTCCCTTCTCCACAGGAGGTGGACCTCTGGGTAAGGCCCACCTGTCTCTCTGGTTGGGCTCTGGCCGGCTGTGTCTGTGTCTTGTGCTGGGCTCCTGGGCCCTGAGGCCTCCTGAAGGGTACTCCTTTTGCTGAGCCCTTAGCTATAAAGGAAACTCAGCCTGAGGGCTCCCATCTCAGGATCTGACTGCAGCAGAGCAAGTCATCTGTCCATCCGTCCCACAAGCCAAGGCCTCAGTCTGGTGCTTATAGGGTGGCTGTGGCCTGCCAGGGCCGCTGTCCACAAGGAGAGCTGAGTTACCTACTGAGGTAAACTGTGCTGACTCAGCTCCTTCCAGAAAAAGCTCCAGACCGGTCAGGTAAGAAGCCAGGGAATCCTCAGCCCCAGGACGCCTTGCCCTTGGAGGCTGCCTGAGAGGCCAGAAAGAGGTTCCCAGGTGTGATCCCAACCTTTGGTCCTGTCCCCTGCCCTGTGGCCTGATGTGGGGCCTCTTAGGAGCCTCCCTACCTGTGATGGGCCCCAGTATTGGACCCTAAACAGTATTCTAAGACCAGACTGTGAGAAGGACGCTCTCAGAGGAAGAACGTGGGAGAGCAGCTGTGTACATCCTGATAGAGATTACTGATTTGAAATCACACTCTGACCTGAAGCTTCTGGCAGGGACAGACAGACGAGAATGCGACCACAGCAAGTGCTAACCAGTTAATACACAGAGAGCTCCACGTGCCACGTCCTGCCCTGGCTGCTTTCATGAGTTAAGTTAATGAATTCTCATAACCACCCTATGAGGTAGATAAATTCCTTGTCCCTGGATAAGGAAACTGAGGTTCTGGAAAGAGGGGCTTGCTTACCCAAGTTCAACTCAGCTATTAAGTGGCAAAGTTTATATTTGAGCCTAAGTAGTCTGGCTCTAGAATCCATGCTCTTAACCTCCACTATGGATGAGGCTGGGGACTTCTCTAGTCATCCTTAGGGGCATTTAAAGTTGTTAGAAACATAGAAATTATCCATTCTCATCCCCACAGTTTACAGTCAAGGTCCCAAGAAAAGTTTCGTGTGTATGTGACCCAGCTGGTTGGTGTCTAGAACCTAGGTCTCAGGATTTTGGTCCAGTGCTGGTCTTCTACAGCTACAGTACCCAAAACTCCCTCTTCCTTGGGGGTTTCCTCTTATATCTCTGCAGGCAAGAACAGACAAGCATGTGCCCATGGAAGTTGTAATCCTATAAGTGGCATCTCCTCTCCCTGCCATCGGGGTGCCTTCTCTCTGGGACTGGGTGACAAGCATCTGAAGCCTCCATCCCAGAGATCACTCAGGGTTCAGGGTTAGAGTCTCTAGTAGACTCTTGCAGTTTCTTGGCCTGTAAAATGAGCATAATGTTTCCCTCCCCGGCTGCTTGGGCGGACTGAAGACAGTGGATGAGGAAGTGGGCGTGAGCACGTGCTGCTCCTGTGCTGGGATCACAGGTCAGCTGTCCGCTGCAGGAGGTCACTGCCCACTCAGCAGGATTGGGTGTGCTGCAGGGAGCCGGCCTGGCCAGGCTGGGCTGGGCTGGGGCTGGGGATTACCTACCCCCCGGAGGGAAAGTCACCGATCAGGCTGGCCCTGTAGCCCCGTCCCTGGGTGTGGGCAGAAGGTCCCTCCCTTCTCCTTTCTGTGGCTGCTTTCTCCCCCTCACCAGGCTTCTGCTGATGCACTTCCTGGGACCAAACATTTGCCTTCCTCTGGCACCACGTGGGGCTGTCTGCCTGAACCAGTGCACGTTTCGGAGCCCCACCCTCCTGAATCCAGCTGGGGTTCTGCATGTAAAGAGCCAGGGTCAAGTAGACGCTCACTCAGGAAGGCTCACATCCCCTCCTAAACTTCTGCAGGCTGTGAAGCCCACCCAGCCACGAAGGGGCCATGGGGGTCATTTCTCCAACAGTCAGGCCCACTGGGTCCGGGGAGCCTGCAGGAAGGTGGCAGGAGGCCTGCGATCACTGGACCTCTTTTAGGGGAGGACTCTCCCTGTCCTTCCTGCGCCAGCTCTAACTTTTGCCTTGGCAGCTGCCCCTCCCCCACCCATAGGTTCCAAAAGTGGGCACGGGATAATTGCTTCAGAGGGGTTCAGGCCAGCTGGAGAAAGCCTTAAGTCAGCAGGGCAGTGTAGCAGTGAAAAGAGCATGAGGCTTGGAAGCTATGAGATTAGATGAGTCACTGGGCCTCTCCAAGCCTCAGTTTCATCTATAAAGTGGGCATGATAATCCCTGCCCCACCTTCTTCCCAGACTCCTTGTAAGATCTACTGAGGAGAGTTATCTAATACTTAAGAGAGGGAGGGCTGTCATCATTTATCACCACGTGAGCCAGGGCCACCTGCTATGACACCCCAGAGAGTGGAGAAGCCCTGGGGCCCTTCTGAAGATCCCAAGCCAGAGAAAGAAGCTGACTCACTGGGCTTAACAGGCCCAGGAGGAGAGCGGAAATGGCATAGATTCTGTGGGGAATATGGATACACAGCTAATCAGCCCGAGGCGGCCGCATCAACCACTTCCTCAGCTTCTGACCGCCACCCCTGGTCCCACACAGACGCGCACACCCCTTGGGACGCTGAGCTTTGAGCTTACTGAGCAAGGCCACGCCAGAGTGACTCGCCCCTAGTAAGGGTAGCCCACCCGGAGCCCTCCAAGGCCCAGGGAACTCTAAAGGGAGCCCACCTCTGCCAGTGGAGGGCACTTCCTCGTGTGGGTCCCCAAGGCCTCCTGCCCTAGAGACCACAGCTTTCCCCAGGATATAGTGTCCAGAGAGAATGGAGGGCCCATCTGCAGGGCTGACCTTTTCCCCGCCTCAGCCAGGGGGGTGGGAAGAATCCTGAGTAAGAAGGTGATCGGTGTTGAGGAAGGAGCACAGAACAGGGGGTGGTGCTCCTGGGTACTAGCGCTTCCCTGTGTCCCTCAAGCCCTGTCTGGTCCCTGGGTTTCCTCATCTCTCAAACAAGGAGCTTCCCGAGATGATGGCTGAGTTTGTTCTCCTCTTTCAGCACTTTGTGGCCCTCCAGGTGCCTCTGCGTCTGCGTCAGCCTGCAGGCTGGGTCCCAGAGGATGGATACTCTCCCCGGAAGCTTTCAGGCTGGAGCAGAGCTGGGGCCACACCCACCCAACACAAGGGGAAGTGGTTCCTGCTCAGCAGAGGAGAGAGAGGGAGAAGAGGGGCAGTAAAGGACTTTTAGTGACCCCCTGCCATATGCCAGGTCTTATATGTCTTATTACTTTTGCCAATTCATCAGTGTTGGCATTATTATCCCCGACTTACAGGTGAGAAATCTATAACTCATCCAACCTGTGAGAGTCAGAAGTCTGGGCTTTCCGTGTATCCTGCTGCCTTTTCTGAAAATAAGTTCAAGCAGATGGGTTCGGCCCTAGATCCGCCCATTGTTAACTGTGTGAGCCTGAACACGGCTCTCTCCACCCCAAGGTCTGAAGTCCCTGTCAGTAAAATGAGGACCCTTGTTGTGAGGCCTAAACCACACAGCCCACATGAAGTGTTCAGGCTCCTCAGGGAGAAGCACAGGCCTGGTACAAGGTCGGTACACAGTGAGTGGTGCATTCATAAACACATGTTAGTGAAGCGTTTTGCAAGGAGATAAGTGCTATCCCACTGGGGAGTGATTGCTTTCACCCCCAGATGAACCAGGTCTGGCTTTTGGCTCTTGTCCTGTGCTACCTGGGGTCCTGCTGTGACTGCACAGTGAGGCAGACCTTTCCCAGGGCCAAGATGAGAAGCCTGACTCTATCCCAAAGTGACTGCAGGCCTGAACTCCTGCCTGGCCAAGAGTCTGGGCAGGGCAGGCAGCCTGTCCTGACACCCAAACCCTTGGGGTGTAAACCTGCCCCAGGCACTCAGATACAAAAAGATTCCATTTCCCCTGCTGGGAACCTGCCAGCCCTGCCTGTTCAGGCAGACCCACCCCTTGGAGGAAGCAGACAGCGCAGGGGGAGAGGAGGAAGCTTAGCACCAGCCCTACAGCCTGCTCCCCGTGCAGTGCCCCTCCCTGGGGAAGGGCAGGCCTAGCTGGTCCCCTCAGCAGGGGACACCTCAGACCGGATGGCAAATTAGCAGTCATGGATAATTGCCTTTGGACTATAGTACCTGCCTATTTGTCTAGCGGTGTCTGGAAGTCCCACTCATTCAACAACAAAAAATGTTTGAACTTCTGTATAATAACATGCGAGGAGCAGGGGATTGAAAGCTGTGCAAGTTGCTGGATGCTGAGCTCACAGCCTCTCAAGTGACAAGGACTATGGAACCAGAAAGTGATGCAGATATGAGTTGTCGTGACTGTAAGGTGCACAGGCAGTAGCCCAGGGGGAGTTCAGGAGGTGGCCCCACTGCTACATCGGGGGTCTTGAGCCTGCCAGTCTGTGCTCTGGATGTGGCCCCAGGATGGGGAAGGGGCTTCCATACCAGCCCTTGCCCTAGGCTTCTGGTTGACCATGAACTTGGCAGGACCTCCCTTGTGCCTCCTGGAGGAGCCCTGGGAACTCTCTCTTTGACCTGCTCATTCGCTCCAGGGCAGGTGTTTCTGCGCCCTTGGTAAAGCTTGACCTCTCTGCTCTCCTTCGCTTCTCTCTTTTGCTCGGCTGCCTCACCCAGCCCCTCCCAGAGGGCTTTGTCTGTGAAAGTGAGTCTGGCTGGAGAGCAGGCCAAGCTGGGTGAGCCATACAGGTGGTATGTGTCCCACACCCACATCCCACGTCCTGTCCTATCCTGCCCTGCCTGGGGATCCCAGAGTCGCAATCTACAGCAGATCGGGCAGAAATGAGACCCCAGAGAACAGGTGGTTTCTGTCGTTGATGGGGATTATCTTTGCCCCTTTGCTACTGGGTCTGGTTCCAGCCTGATCCCCTGACCCAGATTTCCTCTGCCTTCCCAACCAGGCATATCAGAACTTCTAGCTGCCCATCAGCTCTCATTTGACCTCCACCATTCCCAAGCACCAGACGCCCTCCTACCTTCCCTCCTCACTGTGGGAGTGGGTGGGGTCTCCTACCTTGAGATAAGTTTGCCATAGTCCTGTTTTGTTCACTTGCCCTGGGATGTGTTCAGATCTCTTTGTAGACGTGATCTCTCCCTCCAGGTCTGTGCTACCACCAGCGCTCAGCCCGCCCTTCCCACTGCCTGCCCACTTGCCCCGGGCTGTGGGAAAGAACTCCCTGTTCCCCTCCTCAGACTCAGGCACAGAGAAGCCCCGCCTGCACAGGATCTTTGTCAAACCCAGACCTGCACCGCGTGGCATGACCAGTGGCCCCTGCTTGGGGCACAGGAAGCAGAAGGCTTCCCTGCGCTCTGGGAGCTGAGGCTTGTGCACAGAGGAGCCAGCAGATGGGGTGGGGACCACCGTGTAGCTGCTCTGGACAAACATTGTAAGGAAAGACATTTAAGAAGAAGTCCCGAGTCTTACACTTTAGGGACCGCCACCGCCTACGAGTGGGGTTGCTGCAGCGGGGGCAGGTCGGTGGCCCACTGCAAGCGGCCCTGGGTCTGCGTTGACTTGCGTCAGCAGCGTGATGTGGCGCATGCAGTCCAAGCCAGGTCAGCTAGCCAGGGTGTCCAACACGTGGGCGGGGCCGCCCTGTTGCCCGACTCAGTCTGGGCCAGATCACGTGCCCTTGGCTCTGGGCCTGGGCCCACCAGAGTGCTTCCTGAAGTCAGCAGCCAGGGCAGTGAAAGGTTAGCGAGGGCCGGGGCTGCTTGACCAGGAGAAGATTCCGAAGGTGGGGAAGCCTCCACATATATGAAGGGCTTTCCAATGAAAGAGAGATTAGATTCCCAGGGACATAACTAAGGCCAGCGAAAGTGAAATTCAGAGGCAGAAGTTTTAGCGACAGATGTCGGTCAGTGCAAAATGGTTGGCGGTAGCTGCCCAGAGCGCTGTGCCGTGACGGACTCTGGGCTCGGCGGGGAGCATGCCATAATCAGTGAGGCCCATCTGCCGGGGTGCCGGCTGGCACCCACTCCACAAGCGCCATGTACCTGCCACCGGCTTCCGAGCCAGTGCTAGAGAAAACCCTCCAGATCCTTCAGGTTATGGGAAGGTGGCCGGGTGGTCTGTGTCAGGTGGCCATTTCCCAGGGCCCACGTGACCTTGTAGACCAGGGACTCTTGATGTGGTCCCTTTGATAGTCTGGTGAAGCCTAGAGTAGTGTTTTAAAACGTGCAAATAAAAGACCAAGGATTACAGAAAAAGCTAATTGTATTGAAATAAAGTTATCAAGACATTAAACAAGCCAGTTTGTGAAATAGTAACGTACACGTGTGCATGCACTTCTTAACACATGAAACAGTAAGCGGTGGGTCGAATTACTGTAATTTTGGAGCAGTTATGAGTGTAAATAATACTTCACAATCTCTGCAGTGGCTCGAATGTGATAATGAGAAGAGCTGTGATTTCCGTGTGTGGCAAAGTCGCAGGTACTGCAATGCTACACTCATAAATGGAGGAAATGCTAAATTTCTGGTAGAGGTTCATGAAACTTCAGCTAAAGGGTTCCAGGCCCCCGCGTTCTGTCTGCCATCCCAGAGGAAGACTCCTTGCCTTGGAGACTGGTCCCTTCGAGAGGGAGCCCCGCTCTGGGCCGAGTCTGCTAAGTCTGGTCTCTTGGCTTCAGGAGGTGTGAGCTCTCTGCAGGCCCCAGGACCGGGTGGGAGAGCGCGCTGCCACACTGCAGGGTTTGACCTTCTCTCTGTCTGCTGCAGGTGGGCGGACAACTTCGTGGCCCCAGGCTGCGGAGGGAGCCAGGAGCACAGCTTCCAGCATCCCTTCCTCCAGGTATCTGTGCCTGTCCTCGCCCATCTCCATCTCCCAGGCCTCAGGTCAGGGGCCCCCACGAGGCCATGCTGTTTGCTAACCTGGGTTGGGGGAGTCCTCCCTTGCTCTCAGGAGAGCCAGTTGCTTCTCTCTCCCTCCCAGAACAGAGGCCAGGGTGTGAGGTGCCTCTGGAAGCGGGCAGAAGGCACAGTCCCCTGTAGGAAGCCTGCACAAGTCCTGGTGAGCGCTCATGCCCCGGACTCCTTGAGGCCAGCCCTCACCATGGCCAAGTCAGGACACATTTGGAACAATCCAGCCCTGTCGTAAAACCTGCTCCCCAACCACGGGGAGCCCAGACCCCACTGGGGCAGGGCAGACACCATCAATGGAAGGTACCCTATTGCTAGACTGGGAAGCAGGAGACTTAAAGTTTAGTCCAGCTCTGCCAGCAACTTGCTTTGTGACCTTATATAAGTTCTCAAGCCTCTCGGGGCCTCAGTTTCTCCATCTGGAACATGACCAGGGATCGGTCTAGATTGGTGGGCTTTCAGATCAGGCTCTACATGGCCTTAGAGTTTCCATCGAGGTGTTTGAAGAGCTTAGGGGTAGACCTAGGAGGCAGGCTCTGGCCTCCCGCACAGAGCAGTTCTGCTTTTGTCTCTTTTACATGTTGGGGTTATAGGTAAACTCTTGTGTGAAGAAAGGTTATGTTTAAAAAATTTTGTTACAGAGAATCCCCTGGCAGTCCAGTGGTTAGAACTCCAGGCTTTCACTGCCGAGGGCACAGGTTTCATCCCTGGTCGGGGAACTAAGATCCCACAAGCTGTGCAGCATGGCCAAAATAAAATTTTAAAAAAACCTTGTTATAGGTGGTCTTCCTTCCAGCTCTGAAGTCCTGTTTCTGTCCCTACAGGCAGTGGGCATGTTCTTGGGGGAGTGCTTCTGCCTGGCTGCCTTCTACCTACTCCGGTGCAGAGCTGCAGGGCACCCAGACACCAGCATGGATCCCCAGCAGCCCTTCAACCCCCTTCTTTTCCTGCCCCCAGCCCTCTGCGACATGACCGGGACCAGCATCATGTATGTGGGTGAGTAGCCAAGCCAGGCTGCCAAGGGCTCAGCGAAGCCTGTGGCCCAAGGGAGCTGCTGGGAAAGAGCCACCCCCAACTCATCTTCAGCTCCCCCCGCCCCCTCTCCCACCGACCTTTACACACACGCCCCCAACTAAGGTTTACTGAATACTTACCACGTGCCAGCCCTGTCAGCCCTGAGGACACCTCAGTGAACAGACAGGCTAGGCCCTTAGGAGCTAACGTCATGTGTCTCTCCTCTCCTAGCCCTGAACATGACCAGTGCTTCCAGCTTCCAGATGCTGCGGGGAGCAGTGATCATATTCACAGGCCTGTTCTCGGTGACCTTCCTGGGACGGAGGCTGGCACTGAGCCAGTGGCTGGGTATCCTCGCAACCATCGCAGGGCTGGTGGTCGTGGGCCTGGCTGACCTCCTGAGCAGGCACGACAGTCAGCACAAGCTCAGCGAAGTGATCACAGGTGTGGCCGGGGTGGGCATCCCGGGGCTGCCCAGCACAGAGTCACTCGACAAAGCATTTTACAAGCTCTGCTGTCCGCCAAGCCCTGGGGGAGGGCACGTGGGCCACCAGCTGATGTGGACATGCACCTGCTTCCCAGGTGATGGGAAGAGTGTAGGGAAGACCAGCAGGGGACAAGCAGCGTGAGGGAGAGGTGGGTGAGGAGCAGGGAGGTCCGAGGAAGGAGAGGGCTAGTTCTGCGACGTACTCACAGCCACACAGACTGCAGGATCCGGAAGAGGAAGGGAATGAACGTTGGCTGAGCACTTACCGAGCGTGCAACCAGCGCTTCGCACTGTGCTCGTCATCACTCATCCTCACGGTCCCGGAAAGGACACACTGCAGCCCATTTGACAGTGAAGTGGCCACCCTGCTCACGCATGGCAGGATTAAACCAGAAATGTCCATCTCGGAGCCTGTTGCTTCTCAAAAGACCTGCTTACCCCAGTTGTGCAGCCCTCAGGCCCAGGTGGACCCCTGGACTTTCCGGAGCCTTAGCCCAGAGGGGCTGACAGTGCCTTCCCTGGTGGCCTGCCTCACCCCTCAGGAGCCAGGAGGTCAGGCGCGGGGCCTGTCGTGGCCGGACCTCGTGGACTGTACAGTGCCCTGCGGAGTCAGGGGCTGCAGGGGCTCTTAGGTTTCCGTGGGCTGAGATGTCTGCCTCAGCCTGGCCTCACTCTGGGCCCCTCCTTTCCCACAGGGGACCTGCTGATCATCATGGCCCAGATCATCATCTCCATCCAGATGGTGCTGGAGGAGAAGTTTGTCTACAAGCACAGCGTGCACCCACTGCGGGCAGTCGGCACTGAGGGTGCGTGTGAACACAGGCTGGCAGGAGGGCGCCGGGTGGAGTGCGCCCTGCGGGGCGGCACATCGAGGGGATGCAGTGAGGGCGCCTGGCGAGGCGCTGGGGGCCTCTGGGAAGGGCGAGCCTCCCGCCCTCCTTCCTCGCTCCCCTCACCATGTTCGTGTTGATAAATACCCTGACAGCTGCCGTGCACTCGGCCAGGAGCTAAGGGAGGGCAGGGACGAAGATGAATGAGACGCAAGCCCCGCTCTAGAGGAACCGACCAGCAAGAAAGGAGCAGGCAGTGCGTTTTAGCTCGGCCCGCTTTTACTCAAGTGACGCTTCACTTGCCAAGCATATCTGAGTGTCATGGCCCAGGGAAGGTGGCATTTGCGCTACAGGTTTCAGGAAGCAAGAATGGACAGGAGGGAACTCCAGGCAGAGTGGAGACATGGGGAGCTGGATGTGAGTTTGGAAACCAGTGAGGAATAGTTTGGAGGAGGTACAGGTTTGATGTAGGGGAAATGATCAGGAATTGAATATGTCAGGGTCATATCTTGGAGAACCTTGGAACATCAGGCAAGTGGATTTAGACTTTAAATGACAGGCAGGGAAGAGCCACCAAAGGTTTTTGAGCAGGGAAGTAAGTCAAAATGATGCTTTAAAATTATGGAACTAGCAGGGCGAATTAGAGCAGTGCTACCGAAGTGTGACCTACGGGCTTGTCGGGGAGCTGTTGGTGCCTGTTCCACCGTGAGCTGAGGGCTTACGGCGGAACGTTACCCACCTAAATCAACTATGTCATCAAGCGTACTGATTGCTTCCACTCACTTTTTTTTCCTAGCAGGACTTTCTGAGTGAAGCAGTGCCTTGATTTACATTCTGGCCCAGCTCCTTGTCACACACCAACAGCGCTGAGTTAGAGAGCTGTTTTTCCACACTTGTGAGAGCAGTGTCGTGCTCGCAGCCAGCAATCCTTTTGTCAATGAATAGAATTGAGTTTTAAAAGTGTCAGAGAGCATCGTACATTGTAAGGGTAGCTGTCGTTTTGTGAAAGTGTGTGTACATGTCTGTGCACTGGTCACAATATAAAATGTATTTCCTATTCTTGGTCCGGTCAGAAGACGCGGATTAAAGTGGAAATGGGGCCGTCAGAGCCCATTCAGTAGGCCGTTGTGGTTCCTAATGAGCTCCAGGAGCTGGAAGGAAGGAGCTGGTGCGAGGGCGACTCGGAGGGGTGGCTGGGAGGTCAGCGGAGCCCGGCTGGGTGGGCCGGGGCACGCTGCCGGGGCTGGGGGCCCAGCGGAGAGCGTGACGTGCTCCCTCCACTCCCGCAGGCCTCTTTGGCTTCATGATCCTCTTCCTGCTGCTGGTGCCCATGTACTACATCCCCGCCGGTTCCTTCAGTGGAAACCCTCGCGGGACGCTGGAGGACGCGCTGGACGCCTTCTGCCAGGTGGGCCGACAGCCACTCATCGCGCTGGCGCTGCTGGGCAACATCAGCAGCATCGCCTTCTTCAACTTTGCAGGCATCAGTGTCACCAAGGAACTGAGCGCCACCACCCGAATGGTGCTGGACAGCCTGCGTACCATTGTCATCTGGGCACTGAGCCTGACGCTGGGCTGGGAGGCCTTCCACCCGCTGCAGATCCTTGGCTTCCTCATCCTCCTGACGGGCACAGCCCTCTACAATGGGCTGCACCGCCTGCTACTGAGCCGCCTGTCCAGGGGCCGGCCCCCAGCAGAGGAGGGCGAGCATGAGAGACTGCTGGGGGGCCCTCGGACTGCCATCAACGATGCCAGCTGAGCCTCCTGCTCTGCTGCCAGCTGGACGCTCCTTGTTCTCCCCGAGGCTGAGGCCACGTGGGCTGGTGAACCTCAAGTGCCCTGCCCCCTCCCCACAGAGCCCCACCCCCCCCACCCAGGGCAGCTGCTGCCACAGAAGATGACACAACACCCAGGTCCTCCTTTGTCACCGCCCCATTCAGGCCTGAGTGCAGTGCCCGACCCCCAGCAGGCTTCCCCAGCCCCTCCTGCAACACTAGAGCTAAATCATGGAGTAGAATTGCAGGAACCAACAGCCCTAGGGTTTCCTCCTAAATCATAGGCTAAATATGGTTCTCCCAAGAAGAGAGGTCACTGAGCAAATTCTAATAGAACTAAGCACCACAGTTTCTAAAACTTGTAAGATACTCCCTAACCCTGTCTGGGAATGGAGGTTTCAGCCAGGGCCTTGCCGCAAACTCAGTGTGTGCTCCCCAGCCCTGTACCTGGTCACTCCGGGCCTTGGCGTCCTGCTCTGCAGAAGGTGTCCACGGTGTGGCTTCCGTGCCTTTGGGCCCAACTGGGCCCATTCTGCAGGCCTGTGGTTTTGACCAACCTGGGGAAGGAGTGACAGCCCATTTATTGAAGATGCCCCCTGCCCACGGCGCTCCTCCCCACGCCTGCTCTGGCGTCCTTGCTCACACCGTGAAGTCCTCCCCACCTGGGAGAAGTTACAGGGGGATTTCAGGGCAGCCCTGGATAATAGCTTTTATGAACTCTTCACCTTCCATTTTAAAGATGAGCAAACTTGAGTCCCAGAGTTATAAGTTGTTTGGCAAAAGGGCTCTCCTGCCGCGGGCTCTGGCCGTGCAGCCACACGACCAGGCAGTCGGCTGGGTTGTAGACCATGTCTGGGGTTCTGCCTCACCCCCAGCAACCCGACAGACACCATGGAGAACCCTCCAAGGTGATGGGTTTACCGGGAGTCTACCGTTGAGAGTGATGCTGGTATCCCAGGCGTTAAGTGCTTAGCTTTCATTCTCTTGCTAACAGCCTGCACAGGTGGATGCAGGTGAGAAAAGTGTGGCCCAGAGAAGGTCAAGTGACTTCCTCTTGGAGCCGGTATTTCAAGCTGGGTTTGCCTGATTCCAAACCTGTGGGCCCACTTACCATAAGAGTCTCTGAGATCTTTGGGGGTACTTCCTGTGGCTGGGAGAGAGGCATCCTGTGCGTTATCCTCCCAGTAACCCCACCCTGAAGAGAGGGGGCTGGCAGCAGGGACCCCAGGTTGCTGAGCGGCCCTTTATTCCAGTGGTCCTCACTCTGTGGCAGATCACTTTCCTGGGCAGCTCAATCGTGAAACAAATACCGAATGCCTTCCTTAAAAGATCCTTGGAGAAGGGATCTCTGACAAGCAAAGCCCTCGGGCTGTGGGAATCCAGCAGGTTCTTACCGTCGGGAGAGAAAGGCCTCTCCATCCCACCAGCTCCGAGTCTCGGGGGGCCCTGACCTCCTCTGGGCCGCGGTGTGTGTCACAGGAAGAAGGAAATGGAGATCGGGGGTGGTGGGTCCAAAAAACTGGGGCCTTACAGTGTTGTTTCAGGCTTTTTATTTTTAAAAAGAAGAGGGGAGTTGGCAGTGTGGACTTTTTTAATAAGAGGGAAGGAGCACAAGGGTTAGGACATTCCTGGAGGTAACGTCTAGAACGTTGGATGGAAAAGCTGTAAAGTACCAAAGCATAGAAATCACATGTGGATTTTAGCATTGAAGGGTTGGGGGGGATTATAATGGGACTTCAGTGGTGAGAGGTGGCAGAGGATGGGGAGGGCACTTATGGTCAGGCCTGCCACCCACTCAGGCAACTTGCTTCATCTCCTGGAGCTTTGGGTCTTCACATCTCTAAAATGGGGAAGCCTGCATCTCACAGGATGGCTGTGAGTATTACCTAGGATATAAATGGAAGGTGGCTGTAAATGCCAACGTACAGTGGAGCGTCCTGTAAGGCGGCACTGCCCACTAGGGTGGTCTGTCAGGCACTGAAGTCCCAGCAGAGCCATGGTGTGGAGCATCGGTTTTGCTCGGAGGGGGAGAAATGTTTTGTTAGAACATACCATTGTGGAGTAGAGTGTAAACTTCGCATCGATTATAAGATAAAACAGGATGCCTCATAAAATTTTTATGTTGACCCTAAGTACCCTTCCAGACCCTGGAGTTGTGTCCTCTCTATCCTAGTGTCTGGGGTGCTTCGGAGGATGAGCTTGAGAGGCAATGCTGTGTCATGCTGGTAATGGGGGTGGAGGGGGAAAGAATCTCCACTCTCCTGCTGAGTCTAGAGGGTTGTGAGGAATGTCTGTAGCTGTGGCCTACTGCTCTGAGTGCAATAATGGGGCCCTGGACCCCAAATTAGAATTGACTGATAACAGACTTCTGTAAACATCAGTTCAAATACAGCGTAATTCAGACCATCTGCCCTGTAGTGAACTGACCAGTTCCTGCCCCATTCATAGTGGTCCTGGGGGACCCTGGGGCTGGGGTGTCCTCCAGGACTGCCATCCAGGTCCTGGAGTAGCCCTCAGGCTTGCTGCCCACAAGAGATTTAGGGCCATGCCAGGTGGTTCCATTTGCCTTTGCTCTGTCCAAAGGTCTCTGTACTTTAACAAGCAAACAGCACTCAAGGAGATCAGAGGACGGTAGGAGGATTGGAGCAAACAGCCATGTGGTTTAGAGGGAGCCAGAGATACGTGTCCTCAGCTCCATCTCTCCCTTCACTGGGTGGCTTTGGACAAGTGATGTTACCTCTCACCATGATCAAGTGGGATTTATTCCAGAGATGCAAGGATGTTTCCACATCTGCAAATCAGTCAGTATGATACACCACATTTACAAAATAAAGGATAAAAATCATACGATCTCATAGATGCAGAAAAAGCATTTGACAAAATTCAACATCCATTTATGATAAAAAAACTCTCAACAAAGTGGGTATAGAGGGAATGTATCTCAACATAATAAAGGCCATATATTACAAGCCCACAGCTAACATCACACTGAATGATGAAAAAAAGCTGAAAGCTTTAACTCTAAGATTGGGAATGAGACAGTTTTTCCCACTCTTGCCACTTTTATTCAACATAGTATTGGAAGCCCTAGATAAAGCAATTAGGCAAGAGAAAGAAAGGAAAGGATCCAAGTTGGAAAGGAGGAAGAAAAACTGTCACGATTTGCAAATGACATATTATATATAGAAAACCTTAAAGACACCATCAAAAAACTGTTAGAACTAAAAAACAAATTCAGTAAAGTTGCAGGATACAAAATCAATACACAAAAACCCATTGCATTTATATACACTAACAAACTATCAGAAAGGGAAATTAAGAAAACAATCCCATTTACAATTGCATCAAAAAGATAAAATACCCAGGAATAAATTTAACCAAGGAGGCGAAAGACCTGTATACTGAAAACTACAAGACATTAATGAAAGAAATTGAAGACACAAATGAAAGATATTCCACGTTCATGGATTGGAAGAATTAATATTGTTAAAATGTTCATACCATCCAAAGCAATCTACAGATTCAATGCCTTTCAGATTCAATTCTACAAAACTCCAATGGCATTCTTCACAGAAATAGAACAAAAAATCCAAAATTTGTAAGGAACCACAAAAGACCCCAAATAGCCAATGCAATCTTGAGAGAAGAACAACACTGAAGGCATCACATTCCCTGATTTCAAACTAGACTACAAAGCTATAATAATTAAAACAGTATGGTATTGGCCTAAAAACAGACACATAGATTAATGGAACAGAATAGAGAGCCCAGAAATAAACCTGCACATACATGGTCAATTAATTTATGACAAAGGAGCCAAGACTATACAATGGGGAAAAGAACCGTCTCTTTAGTAAATGGTGTTGGGAAAACTGGACCACTGTCTTACACTATACACAAAAATTAACTCAAAATGGGCTAAAGACTTGAACATAAGGCCTGAAACCATATAACTGCTAGAGGAAAACAACAAGTTCCTTGACATAGGTCTTGACAATGTTTTTTTTTTAATCTGACAGCAAAAGCAAAGGCAACAAAAGCAAAAATAAATAAGTAGGACCACTTCAAACTAAAAAGCTTCAGCACAGCAAAGGGAGCCATCAACAAAATAAAAAAGCAACCTACTGAATGGGAGAAAACATTTGCAAATTATATATCTGATCATAGATTAATATCCAAAATATATAAAAAATGCATACAACTCAATGGTGAGAACAAATAATTTGATTTATAAATGGGCAAATGGGGACTTCCCTGGCGGTCCAGTGGTTAAGACTCTGCACTTCCATTCAGAGGGCAGGGGTTCGATCCCTGGTCAGGAAACTAAGATCCCACATGTCCTGCGGCGCAGCCAAAAATAAAATAAAAATGGTCAAATGATCTGAATAGACATTGTTCCGAAGAAGACATACAGAGATGCCCAACAGGGACATGAAAAGATGCTCAACATCATTAATCAGGAAAGTGCAAATCAAAACCACAGTGAGATATCACCTCACATCTGTTAGAATGGCTATTATCAAAAAGACAAGAAATAAGTTTTGGGGAGGATGTGGAGAAAAGGGACGACTTGTGCGCTATTGGTGCGAGTAAATTAGTGCAGCCACTGTGGAAAATTGTATGGAGGTTCCCGGAAAAATTAAAAATAAAACGACCATGTGATTCAGCAATTCTACTTCTGGGTATTCAAAGGAAACAAAAACACTAAGCTGAAAAGATATATGCACCTTTGTGTTCATTGCAGCATTATTTACAATAACCAAGATTTGGAAACACCTAAGTGTTCAGCAATGGATGAACGGATAAAGAAATTGTGGTATGTATATGTATATATATATATATATATATATATATATTCACAATGGAATATTATTTGGGCATAAAAAGAAAGAAATGTTGCCATCTGCAATAACACGGATGAACCTCAAGGGCATTATGCTAAGTGAAATAAGTCAGTCAGAGAAGACAATACTGTATGATCTCACTTACATGTGGAATCTTAAAAAAAAAAACAAAAAACCACCCCTCTATTTTCTACCTTTGTTTTCTACTTATTTCTAATGGAGCAAAGAAGGCACTCTAGGTCTAAAGCAGAATTAATGAGTGAAGATTTGCTATGTCTGATTAATGGGTCCTGAGGACTGGTGTAGTAGGACTTCTTGCCCTCTGTGTCACTGAAAAACAACTATCCTTCTGTGATTTGACTGCATCTCAATGGGTTCAACCAAACATTCCTTTCCCTTCCTTCCCCCCCTTCCCTTCCCCCCTCCTCTACTCTTTCTTTCTCCCTTTCTTTCTTTCTCTCTTTCTCTTTCTTTCTTATTGTGGTGAAATATACACAACATAACACTCACCGTATTGACCATTATTAAGTGCACAATTCAGTGGCATTAAGAACATTCACATTTGTTGTGCAATCATCACCCATCTCCAGAACGTTTTCATCTTCCCAAACTGAAACTCTGTACCCATTAAACAATAATTCCCCTTTCCTCCCTTCCCCCAGCCCCTAGCAACCACCATCCTACCTTTCTGTCTCTATGAATTTGACTACTCTAGGTACCTCATGTAAGTGGAACCATACAATATTGGTCCTTTTGTATCTCATTTATTTTGCTTAACATAATACCTTCAAGACTCATCCATGTTGTAATATGTATCAAAATTTACTTTCTTCATAAGGCTGAATAATATTCCATTGTATGTATATATTACATTTTATTTATCTATTCATTCACTTGGACATTTTTGACTATTGTGAATAACACTGCTATGAGCCTTAGGGTACAAATACCTGTTCAAGCCCCTGCTTTTAATTAAATATACACCCAGAAGTGGACTTGCTGGATCATATGGTAATTCTGGGTTTAATTTTTTGACCAGTTGCCATACTGTTTTCCACTGTAGCTGCACCATTTTGCGTTCCCACCAGCAGTGAACAAGGGTTCCATAAAATCACTGATTTTGTAACATATTTCCTGATTACAGTGCATGTTAACTGTAGAACATCTAGATAATGTAAAAAAACAAAAGTGTAGAATAGAAAATCCCCTTTATTCTAACTACCTAGTTCTACATTTGACCTCAATACATATTATCCCCAACAGGAAGGGAAGGGGTCATTTCCCTGTTAACGAAAATGCTGGAGAGCATGATCCAAAAATAGAGCTGAGGCCTGCCCTGCTTGACCTCATGGTGAGAGGCCCCATCCTGGCTGTCCCAGGACCCTAATCATCAATAAGGTTCATGCAGTGAAGCTGACTTCTGAGTCATGTTCATGGGCTGCTCCTGGTCTCAGGCGAGACATGGGATGGTCACATTCTCCGTGGGCCCGTCTCCTCATCTTTAAAACCCACCTCAAGATTGATAGAGCAAAACATAAAATGCGCAAGGTGATTCGTCTAGAGAAACGCGTTCTACACACGCACCAGCTACATCTTCATAATCGAGCTTTCATTTGTCGACCAGAGAGCATCGGAGGACCTGGGTCTGATCCATCAAAGATGCGGTCTTGCCCCAGGGAGCGGAGGACTGGAGCAGTTCCCGCCTCATTTCACTTTTCCAAGTCCCCATTGGCTGATTCCTACCATCGATCCGCCTCGTCCCCGCTGTCTTCTCCTATCACCGCCGCCGTTAGCCTCTCATCCTGTGCTCTCATTGGTCCTCCCCGCAATCGCTCTGCGCCAGGAGCGTTCCAGAGGCAGCCACTGGGAGTCGCTGGATTTGGTTTTTAAAAAACGCCGGCGGTGAATCCGCGGCGGAGCGGGCAATTTGAACGCCACCCAGCCGGGGCACGCGGCCGGGGCGCTGCTGGCCTTCCCCTGAACCCCAGCCTCTGCCTCCGGACCCGGAAGGCCGAGAAGGAGCCGCGGTCCGCAACCCTGAGCGCCAGCCATGGGCCCGCGCCGCCGGATCCGCAAGCCCGAAGCCCCAAGGAGGCGCCCCGCGAGCCCGGCTCCCGCCCCCCCCCGGCCGGGCCCACCCTTAGGTAACCCGCCGTGATCCCTTTCCCTCCGAGCCGGCCTCCCTGCAGCCTGTCTGTGAGGTGGGTACGGCCGGGTCCGCGTGCCCATTTCACAGACGAAAAAATCTATGCTCGCTTGCCGAGCCTGGGGTCCAGCCCAGTCTCCCGACCCCTGGTCCGCTGGCCTTCCTCTGCAGGGGGGCAAAGCGGTTCTGCCGTCCAGTATCCGTTCCGGGACGGCCCAAGGTCCAAGACCGGGGAGGGACTGGGGAAGGCAGTTCTGAGGAGGAGAAAGGACTGGCCCAGACAGTATTCTTAATTCTACTAACGTGTATTGAGTGCTTACCACTAACTAGGCATTATGTTAAACTCTTTATATTAATTAACTCAATTTTATATTGTGGCCATTTTACAGATGGGACAACTGAAGCGCAGACAAACCTGATAATTTGAACAAGATCACCCAGCTTGTTCCCGCAGACACGGGATTTTAAAAAATCTGTGTTTGTGCTTTTTTCAAATGCAAAAGTATTGGCTGCTTTTTGTGACAATTTCAAACAACAGTTCTAATTTTAGAAGGTGCCATTCCAGGTTTTTTGGGGGTTTTTTGTTTTGTTTTGTTTTTTTCCTTCAGTGAGTGGCTGTATTGGTCCTTAACCAAAGTGCCCTAACCTAGCCGGTGCTCTCACCTTGTTCCCTTCCAGAGGTAGCATGCCTGGAAAGAAGGCTGGTCTGTGGTCCTTAGTTTCTGTGCTGTGGTCTGGTGGATGGGATACCCACAAACAAGAACTGTGGCAGCAACCGCTTTACTTGTCTTCTGCTCCATAGCTAAGAGCAGGGCGAAGAAAGTATTATTGGTTATTTATAGATGTTGCTGTTGTGAATGGGTTGTTTTTTATTTTTCTTTCCTTAACATAAATAACCTTTGCATCTAGCTAACTTGCTGAATTCTCTTGTTAATCCTAATAGCCTTTCAGCTGCTTTAATTGAAATTTTTAAGTGGACCATTATACTGTTTGCAGATAATGACTTTTGAGTCTTCTTTTCATTTTTATACATTTTATTTCTTATTTTATTGTTAGTGAGGCCCTGAGACTAGTGTTGAAATAAGAGCAATGTTTTGGTCATCTTTGTCTCATTTGTAATTTTAACAGGAATATTGTTACGTATGATGTTCACTATTGCTTCCGGATGTAGAAGCATCCTTACAGCTCCAGTCCCCTGATTCACTCTCAGCTCAGGATGACCTTGCCTCATGCTTCATTGAGGAAAGAGAAGCCTCCAGACTGGATTCCCCTTTATCTTCTCACAACAGAGAACCTAGGTGACCCCTTTCCATCAAAAGCCACTCCTCCTCCTACATGAGCTCTTGGTCATATTCTTCTGTCGCCATCCCAGGGGCTTTCTGTCATCCTTACCACCTGCACTTGGAAGTAAATTCATACTCCTTACATTGGCATTTGGCAAATGTGCTCTGCTATTTCTGTTCTAAAGAAAAGGGCACCCCACATCCCCGGCTCCCTCATACTCCCTGTTTCTCACTTCTGCCCTTCACAGCTACCCTTTTTATTTTATTATTATTTTTTAATTTATTTATTTAATTAATTTATTTATTTTTGGCTGTGTTGGGTCTTCCCCGCTGCATGCGTGCTCTCTCTAGTCGCGGAGAGCGGGGGCTACTCCTCGTTGCAGTGCGTGGGCTTCTCATCACAGCGGCCTCTCCCGTTGCAGAGCTTGGGCTCCAGGCACGCGGGCCTCGGTAGTTGTGGTTCACGGACTCTAGAGCGCAGGCTCAGTAGTTGTGGCGCATGGGCTCCGTTGCTCCGCGGCGTGTAGGAACCTCCCAGACCAGGGCCCGAACCCCTGTCCCCTGCATTGGCAGGCGGACTCCCAACCACTGCACCACCAGGGAAGCCCCACAGCTACCCTTTTTAAAACAGCCAGACTTAAGTCTACCCACGTGTCTGTTTCCCCTCTGCCCAGACACCCTTCAACCCGTTCCAATCTGACTCCCCACAACCACTACCCTTACTTCCAGTACCCTTGAACTGCTGTTGTGAAGGTCACCAGCTACTTTCATGTTGCCAACTTTATTAGACATGCCTGTGTCCTTCTCTTATCCTCTCAGAAGCATTCAACACAGTGGGTCATTTCTTCTTCGAAACACTCCACCCCCCTGGCTCCGTGATACACACGCTCTGCAGTTTCTGCTCAGTGGTTTTTACTGCCTGTGCCACCTCTCTTCAGCATGTTGATGTTGGACTTCCATGGTCTACTTTTCCTTTCTTTCCCTTCCCCAGGTGGGCTCATCCCTCCCCGTGGCTCCAGTACCATTCATATACTGACAGCTCTCACATTTATAGCTCCAGCCCACATCTCTCCTCTGACCCCACACACCTACATCCAACGGCCTTTCTACTCGAAGACTCTGGGGTATGTCACACTAAACACATCTAAAAGCACACTTTTGGTTACTCCCCTCCTGCCGCTTCATCCCCGGTTTCCCCCATTTCAGGAGATGGCATAGCCACTCACAGGATTGTTTAAGCCAGAAACCCGGGAGAGATTTTTCATCTTGCCCCCATGTCCATCCAATCCAAATGTAAGCTCAGGCACGTCCACCTCCACGTCGCATCCTAACCATGCCACTCGTTGCCTTCTCCACTCCCACCAGCCTAGTCCAAGCCCCCAGCACCCTAACCTGGCTACGACTTCCCCTCCACTCTTGTCCCTTTTCGGTTCTTTCCTTACACAGCAACTGGAATGATCTTTAAATGTAAGTGGATCATCTCTCCGTCCTGCTTAAAGCTCTTCCGTGGCTTCCCATTACCTTAGGATTAAATCCCGACTCCTTATGTCGGATTTTAAGACCCAACTATTGAATGTTTAATCCCAGTTCTTTCCCATGATCCCTCTAATTGGTTACTTTTCACAAGCACTTGTTCCTGAGTCATAGACTTCACATCTTCCCTTACCCCTCGGAGGTTATTATGTGTATTTTTCTTTCTCTCTTTTCTGTAATAACTCAAGTCCCTCTGGTATTGGTTATTTTGTTTGCTGAGTTTGATCCCTTCCTTTCATGGTGTTGGCCTTTTTACATTGCTTGGTGATCTTTAGTTGTGTTCATCTTTCCATTCCGTGACTGCCATGTCTGATTATTAAAGGCTGCTTCCGGCGACTGGATTGGGGACGGGTGGTGAGGAGGGAGGCAGGTGCCAGTAGCTCATCTCCTGGGTGTAGGGCCTCCCTCTTTCTAAAAAGTCCCCTGTTTCTTTGGCCCCTGGGATAAAGTCTCCACTGCCAGCACATCTCTGCATTGCCCCTCTGTCCCCATTTGCTCTCGGCAGCTTGTCTAACACTTGGCAAATAGTTCACCATATTAAATCCCTTCTATGCAACTACTTGGTGTGGATTGTCTCTTCTTGGCTAGACCATGAATAACATTTCTTCAAAATGTTAGTTTTCGTGGGGTTTTTTTTTTCTTTTTTTTATTTGTTCAACTTCTCAGAGGTTCATTTGTTTTTATTGGTCCTTGGTTTAATTTATGGAGCCAGCTGTACTGTTTTTGTTTTACACTCTTTTTCATTAAGTTAGTTTATTATCTTTAATATTTCTTTTACTCTACCCTCTTTTGATTTACTTTAATAATTCTCTTCCTAATGCGTGAGTTGAACACTTAGCGGAATTATCTTTTAATGTTCTTGTTTTCTCGTAGATAGATCTTGAGGCTGTACATTTTCCTTTAGGACTATTTGGTTATATCGCTTAAGTTTTAAGGTGTAGACTTTTTCTTTTTATTCATTTCTAAATAGTCTAATTTCAGTGAATTGTCCTCTTTAACAAGAGAGTTAGAAGAATTTTTATTTTTTATATTCTTGTGTTTTTAATTTCTGATCAGAGTTTGACTTTTTTGATTTCTACTTTTAGGAATGATTTTAAGATTTTTTTGTCTTTTTTTGTTGTTGTTGAAACTAGGCTTTGAGCCAAAGGCTCTGACTTCATAGCCCAAAGGCCCGACACTGGCACTGAGTTATGCCACTTCTGAGCTCCCACCTTGGCCGCTAACGTGCTCTGGCCAACTGTCTTAACCTCTCTGGGCCTCAGGATAACAGAGACAAGGGAATTGTACTAGATAATCTCTCAGATTCCTTCCAGCTCTTAAAAAATACCTAAAAATTGGACTTCCCTGGTGGTCCAGTGGTTAAGACTCCGTGCTTCCAATGCAGGGGGCGCCTGTTCGATCCCTGGTTGGGGAACTAAGATCCCACGTGCTGCGCGGCGGGGCCAAAAAAACCCTAAAAACAAAATTGGAAACTGGGTTTCCAATCCAGGTGGGAAAGACAGAGGAGATGCACAGAGTACTGTGGGCCCAGAGGAGGGAGGTGACCCATTGGTTTGGAAGGGATTGGGAGTCAGGAAAGGCTGCATGGAAGAGTCGGCATTTAAAATAAGACCCTCAGAGGATCATCACTGAGGGTCAATAGGACCCTCAAAGGATCACTTATTCATTCATTTAACAAAAATTTATTTAGCACCAACCACTGTTCTCCAGTTGCTGAAGATAACCGCAATGACTACAATAGACAAAAAGCCCTGCTTTTGGGGAGCCTGTTATATACAGTCTACGATTTGGTAGTTTGACAGCCAGGTTGCAATGCACCACCCGTCTTCCACTGCATTTTGCTCCATGACCCAACTCTTTTGCTCAGGCGCTCCCTCCCGTCCACTTGCTCGCCGCAGATACCGGGTTCTGAAGGAGATCCGAACTCTTCAGAAGAGCACAAACCTGTTGTTAAGGAAGACCCCCTTCTGCCGCCTGGTGAGCTCCAGGGAGCTTCCCGCCAACCCCCATGCCGCCTCCTTTCTTTAAATTTCCCAGGTATTGGGCCCCCATCGCCTCTTGCCCAAATGGCAAGGGACCTCTTCCCTAGCCTGGTCGGGGACTCTTCATCTTCTGAAAACATGAGCCCACAAAGGGCACCTTCTAATTCTTTATGGAATTAATTTCTAACCCCTACCACCTTCGAACTGTGTTCTTTGATTACGTACAAGGAACTCTGTCATCCAACCACCCTTTCATCCCTTGTCTTGCCCTGAGAGATTGTCTCCTCCTCTCCCCACCACCAATGAGGAGAGACGGGCCAATCTCTAAGCTCCCTGGAGTTGACACCAGCTACTAGTTAGGTTCTATGATTAAGGGCCAGGAAGGAATAACGGAAATGAAGATTCATGGAGACTCACGGAGAGAGTCTGTCTTCTCTTGAACCTCCTTTTACTCTCTACTCCTCCCCACTCCCCTTCTCCCTTGCTCCCCATCCCCACTCCTTCGCAGGCAAGAGAAATATGTGCTGTATTCACTCGTGGTGTGGACTTCAATTGGCAAGCCCAGGCCCTGTTGGCCCTACAAGAGGTAAGATGGGGGCCAAGGTCCAGTTGGGTGAGGGGTGAGTATGGGAGAAAGGCAAGGCTACATCTCACCTCCTTGAAAAGAACAAGGAACACCCAGGGTTTGGAGGCTAGGTTCTCATTTGGTGGTAGTGGAATTCCCAGGCAAAGTTCAATCTCATTCTGTGAATAATCCTTCCCCGCAGTCCTTTGAGCCCTTAGAGACTGAGGTTAGCAGGTCTCTCAGCAGAAAGCAGCCCATGCCCCCTCGTCTGTGTCAGTCTTTCTGCTTTTCTTTCTGTCCGCAGGCAGCAGAAGCGTTTCTAGTTCACCTCTTTGAGGATGCCTATCTCCTCTCCTTGCATGCCGGCCGTGTCACTCTCTTCCCGAAGGATGTGCAGCTGGCCAGGAGGATCCGAGGCATTCAGGAGGGGCTCGGCTGAGCTCCTGCCGCCCGTGACGGTAAGCTTTTCCTGCTCACCAGAAAGTGAGTGCGCCGTGGGGGAACACCTAGCTTCTCATCACTGTGGTGGGAGTTTCTGCGGAGGAATGTTCCTTCTCCGTCCTTAAGTCCTTTGCTGCCTCGCCTTCCCTTTGTTCTCCAGGAAAGGTTTGACCTAGTTTTGACTTGAATGCTTGGGATTCTGTGGCTCATGCCCTTTAAGTAATGACCAGACAACCTGAATCTCTGACAGAGTGAATCCTCTCCATTTTACAAGGACCAGATGACCTCATTTTGATTAAAACAAAGTTCTTAGTTTTGAAAATGCCTTGTTAGTCATTGTGATTCCTGTATTTCAGGGATGATACCAGGGACTCTGCCCGTAACTAGGACCAGATCACGGAGTACAAGGTGGTGCCTGGACTTGCTGTCTCTGAGCAGAGCGTGTGTGTTGCTTTTGTAATTAGGTTTTTTTAAGAAGGAGAAGACTGCATGGCTTTCCTCTGTAACAGAGGTGATACATGACAGAATCAACACATTCCAAAAGTCCTGACAATAATTTTCAGATGAAGAGACTCCAAGTTTGACTTCACTTTGCAAATTATTCACACACCTGATGATTTGGAAGACATCAGATTTTCTAGGTTGTGAGAGCAAAGGATATTTACTGATTATTTTAGATCTTTCTGTACCATTTAAATTTTTTTACCATATGTATATTTACTCTTATTTAAAGCATAAGGGAAAAAATAAGAGAAGACCACTTCAGCCGGTTGCATGGAAGAGGCTGGCGCATCCAGCCTGCAAATCTCTGTCCTTCAGTTTGACGTCATGATCAGTGGCTGCAGCAAGCCCCTGTGTGGACTGTGCCTGTCAACAGACCGCACAGCTTTTCAAAAACTCACTTGGGATGGAAACAGGAAATCGTTAAGGTTTGATGGCTCCTGGCTCCTTCTGGTAAACTCCTATCAAAATCATTCAGAAATTCTAGCTTGTAGAATTTATTTTATTCTTATTTGCAAGTCATAGGCGATGTATCGTAATTTATACTGCAGAATTCTTCATTCCAGGACTTTTAAGAGCCTTTTCAATGTTTTTACAGGTATTTTTTATAACTCCCTTGGGGAGAGATAATAAAAATAATTCTTTAATGAGAAAAAGTTGAAGCGAAGTCACTATTGTACAGAGATTATACTGTGTCCTTTGTGTGTTAGCGTTAAGTTCTTCATTTGGACACTTGGCCAACAGCCACCATTTAAACAAGAGACTTCAGGGATGTGTTTTTGTCTCCAGTGGAGTAGAGCGTGAGCAGATAAAAACCTTGCCCATCTCTTGTAACTGAAAGCAGCTTAAGAGATCTCCAGAGAAATGGGAAGTGCCACCCGAAGACTCTTAGATATTGTGCGTAGTGAAAATGATTAGTGAGGGCGGACACTAATAATGATGTGTCAGCCAACTGAACTGCAAGACAAACTAAAGGGAAAAGGACCAAGTTCTGTTGTGTGATAGATTTTAACCCTTTGGAAAAACCGTTTCCTGTTCGACATCAACTCATTTTTATGTAGACATTGGAATAAAGCTTACCTACCTATGACTATATTTAAAATTCTTGTCAGTATGTTATTAATCAGAAGATTATACTCTTCCTCTAGTTTTCTTTAAACTGACACTTGTCTGCTCTCTTAAAATTGTACTAACCAGGACCCCACTGTAACACATGGTCACATGTCACATGCAAATGCCAGGCAGGATGTATGCTCAGCACCACAGAGTATTTATACAGTAACGTGAGAATAAGTAACTTACACCATGATAATGTTATAGGATATCATTACAATTTACTGTAAACTTTGAGCACTTACACTGCTGATGTTGTTGGAGTTTTGTTTTTGTTTTTCTCTACTTTCTGGGTGATTTCACCAACATTATGTTCTAACCTTTCCATTAAGTTTTTATTTCTGCTTTCACATTTTTTAATATCCAAGAACTCTCTTATTTTTTGAATGTTTCTTTTTTATAGCATCCCAATCAGTATTTACTCAAAAAAAACAAAAAACCAATCTAGATATTTCAAGCCAAGCGGAATTTAATGGAAGGGATTGGTTAAATGATGTCAAGAGGGCCGGAAGAGCTAAAGGGAAGAGAGGACGCTACTCCAGGATCAGGAAGCTTCCAATGCTCAAAGCCCACGCTCACTGCTGCTCGGCTGGAAGCAGGGCCCCCGCCATTACTGCGTTAGAACCACACCGATGCTACCGAGCAGGAATAAGGAGCCCCCGCTCCAGCCGATGCTGCTGCAGCCACCACTGACACCGAGGAAGCTCCTGTCATCCACCGCTGCTTCTGCTGCCAAAGGCACTACCAGAACAACAGAGAAATGTCTCAACTCCCACCTGCCAGGCCCCACCAGCATTTTCCATTGGCAGAACCTAGCCAGAGCAGCTGCAAGGGAGCCTGAGAACCCAACTGTTGCCTTCTAACCCCCTTGTGTCAGGGACGAGACCTTGAAAGGGTGAGAATGGAGCTTTGAGGGCCAATAGACACGATCTGCAGGACGTGTGCTCTCAGCACGCAATCCCAATCTTGTTTCATGGATGCAATACCATTTTCAGGATATTGATCATAATTTTGCTACTGGTTTTTGAATTCTTTCTGCTGCATCATCCTGTTTCCTCTAAGTTGTTTTTGTTTTTCCTGTTAGTTCTAGTTTCCCTTTCACTTATAAGGTTTTCCTTTAATGTTTAACAATCTTTACGTTTAAAAGTGGGAGACAGAAAAGCTAATAGGTAGTTCTGAGCATGTTGGTGGGGCTTGTTGACTTGGAGCTTTACTGTAGAATGGTCAGGTGGGTATTTTCTTGGGGACACCCTGCTCTCTTAGGCCAGCCAGATCCCCAGGGGAGGGTCATCCAACCCTTACCACTTGGACAGCAAAGGCCCAGCTGGTTCTAGGAGCTGAGTGGCAGAGTGCTGAGGATATCCATATGCAAAGTTCACCGTGCATAAGCTTCCTTAATCTCCCTGGCTTTGGCCTCCTGAAGCCCAGAGACTCGATTTTCTCTTCTCTTGAGAATAAGCCTCCAAGCTTCTCCTGGGATGGGGGAAAGAGAGTCACCAGTGATTAAGTGGTAGGAGAGGAACATTTAGGGACTTGTTTCCTAAGCAGCATCTAACCAGTCATCTATTTTAGCCAACCCTCCCTCACACCCAGTTGCAGAAGTAATTGATGCTCTTTTGTTCCTGAGCCTTATAAAGATTTTGCCTTGTAGCTTGTGATGGTTCTTAACTTCCCCCACTGCTAGTTTAGGATTCCACTCTCTTGGGTCTGTGGAGTCAGTTTCTACTCATCCATCTGCTTTCTAAGTTTCAGGATTTTTGTTACTGTTTTTTCCTGTCCTGTCTTCCCCATCCTTATGAATTTATGTTGAGCTTCCTATCCTCTATAGGATTGTAGATTGGCAGTTATTTTCTCTCTTTACATGAGAAAGCTGTTCCACTATTTTCTGGGTTCTGTTCTTGCTGTTGAGAAGTCAGCTCTCAGTCCAACAGATGCTCCTTGGAAGCTAATGTTATCTCTGACTTTCTCTTCTTAGAAGATTTTTCTTTGTTTTTGGTGTTCTGCAATGTCATTCTGATGTGTCTAAGTGTGCATTTCTTTTTATTTGTCTTGCTTGGCATTCATAGGGCTTCTTGGATATGGATTGATGTCTTTTTATCAATTTTGGAAAATTCTCTCCTCAGACACTGCCCCTTTGCATTCTCTCTCCCCTCGTTCTGGGACGCCAATTATCTGTTTGCTGGGCCTTCTTCTCACAGTATCCTTAATGTTTCTTCCCCTCTTCTATTTTCCATCTTTTCTCTATCGGTGCTGCGTATCTTCTTTCTTCTGTTCTACCCTGTAATTAATTGATTTTCTTTCAGCTATGTCTAATCTAGTTTTAAACCAGACCATTTTCTTCATTTCAGTTATTGTATTTTTAGTTCTAGAATTTTTGATTCTTTTCAAAATTGTCCTGTCACTTTTTTTTTTTTTGCAGTACGCACGCCTCTCACTGTTGTGGCCTCTCCCATTGCGGAGCACAGGCTCCGGACACGCAGGCTCAGCGGCCATGGCTCACGGGCCCAGCCGCTCCGCGGCATGTGGGATCCTCCCGGACCGGGGCACGAACCCGTGTCCCCTGCATCAGCAGGCGGACTCCCAACTACTGCGCCACCAGGGAAGCCCTGTCCTGTCACTTTTTATAGTTTCTAGTTCCCTGCTTAAGATGTCAAGCTTGGCTTTTATATCCTTTAATGTAGTAAGTAAGCATAGTTGCTTTACAGACTGTGTGTGATAACTTTCATATTTAGACTCCCTCTGGATCTGTTTCTATTTGTGGTTTCTGTTGATTCTCACTCATGTTTTTTTCTCTTTGGTGTTGATTACATTTGATAGTATGCCCGACACATCTATATGAGGAAATAATTTGAGGCCTAGAATGGTACCTTCCTCTAGAGAGGACTGGCATTTTCTCTGCCATGTACTTGGAGGCACTAAACATTCAGAACCACCTTAATTCAGTTTTAGAGCTTGAGATTTTCTGAGCCACCCAGATGTTTCAAAGCCAAGGTACAGTGTCAGGTTGGAATTGTTTCTCATTCACTTTATTCCTGAGGTACAACCTGCCCTCCAAGGTCAGCTTATCATGCTTACCTTGGCAGGCCTGCACTTCAACCTTTGTCTCCCTAACCCCACAATGTTACCAAAAGCATACCTCATCCCTCAGCTACTTTTTTAGGACTGGCAAACATCCCCATGAGAAAGTGTTAGGCCTAATCTGTTAAACTCATCTCTAGATTTCTGTCCTCTCTTTGATCTTGGATCAATAATTACTAATAAGTAGTCACTATCTTGTTAGCAGTTTAACACTTTTAAGGAAGAAAAAATATAGTTGTCCAACTTTTTTTAGTTGTCTTCAGTAGGAGAATGGTTCAAATGACTACTGGCATAAAGACAGATAGACCAATGGAATAGAATAGAATAGAATAGAATAGAACAGAATAGAATAGGAAGCCTAGAAATAAACCCTCGCATATATGGTCAAATGATTTTTGACAAGGGTGCCAAGGCCATTCAATGGGGAAAAGACAGTCTTTTCAACAAATGTTTCTGGGAAAACCAGATATCCCCATGCAAAAGAATGAAGTTGGAACCTTACCTAATACAATATAGAAAAATCAACTCAAAATGGACCAAAAGCCTAAATGTAAGAATGACAATTATAAAACTCTTAGAAGAAAACATAAGGCAAATACTTCACAACATTGGATTTGGCAACGATTTCTTGGATGCGACACCAAAAGCACAGGCAATAAAAGAAAAAATAGACAAGTTTGAGTTCATGAAAATTAAGAATTTCTGTGCATCAAAGGACACTATCCACAGAGTGAAAAGGCAGAATGAGACAAATATTTGTGACATATATAATGAGGAATATATGATATATGATAATGTATACATAACATATAATGATGTATAATGAGATAATGAGACAAATATCACAGAATGAGAAAAATTTGCATATCATATCTGTTAAGGGATTAATATCAGAATATATAGAGAACTAAAAACAACAAAAACTTGATTCAAAAATGAGCAAAGGGGGCTTCCCTGGTGGCACAGTGGTTAAGAATCCGCCTGCCAATGCAGGGGACATTGGTTCGAGCCCTGGTCCGGGAAGATCCCACATGCCGCGGAGCAACTAAGCCCGTGTGCCACGACTACTTGACCTGCTCTCTAGAGCCCACAAGCCACAACTATTGAAGCCCGTGCGCCTAGAGCCCGTTTTCCGCAACAAGAGAGGCCACCGCAATGAGAAGCCCGCGCATCGCAACGAAGAGCAGCCCCCGCTCTCTGCAACTAGAGAAAGCCCGCGGGCAGCTGCAAAGACCCAACGCAGCCAAAAATAAATAAATAAATCTATTTTTTTAAAATGAGCAAAGGACTTGAATAGAGGAATATGTTGCAACAAGAATGTTAGTTTTGTAACTCTAAACATTCAATAACATTTTTTTCAAATTTTGTAATATTGTATCTTCCCAATGGGAAAAAAAAATGAGACTCATTCCTGAATGTTTATGTTTAAATCCCAGTTGATAATAGCTATTTTCATTATTGGCTAAACTGTCTGATGAGAACGTACAGTTAGTTCCAAATCCCCAGCTTGTAGAGGATTCCAAGAAATGGCACCCAGAGAGTATCAAATGCAGCTTGATCCAGGAGAGAAAGGAGACTTGCGTTTCAGAGTCTCTAAGTGAGCTGAAGAGAACTGGCAAGGTGCGTCTCTCTGGGCGTTTGCTAAGTTCTGGATGGTCCCCACTCCACCCCAGCCAACCGAGTCGGTGTGGACACCCTCTCTGCTCTGACCATCAACTTGCACGGAACAGGGTCTTCATAGTAGATGGCAGAAGGCCAGATACCAGATGCCAGCGAAGGTTGTGGAGAGAAAGAGAACTGTCATTCTGTCCAAAAAATATGAAACCATCCCTTTGCCTGACAAGTGTCTCTCCAAGCCTCTTCAGTGTTAGATTTCCTTGGTTTACCA